ATTCTTAATAATTTTAATCAAATAATCAATAAATATATATAAATATACTTATTGATTATCTAAATTTCCTAGCAATCTAATACATTTAATATATATATTTTAATGTGCATATATACGTTTCTATTATGCTTATAAAAAATTCCAGATTACATTTGATAATTATATTCTAAATATCAATCAAAGAGTCAATATAAAGATTTATAGAAATAAATAAAAGTTTATTTTTAAAAATATAAAACAATACATCAACAAAAAATTAACAGTCAATACATTCTCATACTATGTTTTTTATTTTTATAGGAGTTTATTTTATAACATGCGTATTTACTTTTTATTTTTATGTGTAGTAACGATCCATGCAATTGAATGTATATGAAGAAAAAGAAAAATATGCTATGTTTATATTCTTCAACGAATTTCGAGAAAGTCTTTTATCAAGTATACATAGAAAAACATTTCCAAACAATTAGCTAAGTTTATTAGGAGGGGAGAGGTGACTCAAATATACTACACATCTTATTTTGATTTTAAATACGATACAAATTAGACGAAACGATTTCACTCTCCGTTTAAACATTTAATACTAAGTAATTAAATAATATTTTATTACAGAATTTTTGATATCTAATTAAATTTCATTTGATTTACAGATTTATGCAGTCATATTCGATAATGTGTATGCATTGAAATTAGAAGATCTATAACCGAGATTACAAGATCACATACTTTTCTATGGTTTCAGAAATTTTTTTACCATAATTTCATTCTTTTTATGGTTTCAGAAAGACGTTTGCCATCATCCCATTCTTTCCATCGTTTTAGAAAAACGTTCACCATTGAAATCATACTAATTAATGGTAGAAGATACAGCTACATACTTACATTCAAGTATTTCTTTCTTTCTTTTCTTTAATTTTAGGAATATATTAATATCTAAATAGATCTCCGACGCAGCAACCACCCCATGGTGAAATCTGGTAACCAATATTGCTTATGGTGTCTATAGAATATATATGGTACAACGTAAGCATATGAATGAAATGATTGATTGAATGAATTATTTAATTACACGTTACAATTTTAGTTTAAATTTTATTAATTTAAATTCATTTTATTTCTTATGGTATATTAAATTAACATAAATAATTCAAGACACGTTTAATCGATTTTAATTAATTGTTTAAATGATTATTTATAAATATTGTACCTTGTTTAGTTTTACATTTAATGCTATATATATATATATATTCTTTTTTATAGGTATTAACGCAATTAGTATACTTCTGTAAAAATAAAACTTATCGCGATGAAATGTATTTTTTGAAAGATAGAATTCAACGTGATATTTGTTCGTTTGCATTTTATATTATTTTTCATATAGTTTATAAGTTTGTGGTAACATCATTTGAATAATTTTTTTATTAATAATTAAAGCGTTTATAAAAATAGTAGCACGATTCCAAAATTTTGGGGATACGTAGTTTAAATAATTGAATTTTTTAAATGATTAGTATATTTCTATTTATTTATAATATTTATATTTAGTATATTTTTTATTTTTAATATTTAATATATAAACAGAAGTATGCTACAACTTGCTTTAACTATAAATTTTGATTTTCAGAGCTTCAATTGCGATTGCAAAATTTATTAAAATTAATTCACCCAAAAGCCCCTTTCAAAGGGACTACCCTTAGCTTCATTTCAAGGGTCTCACCCGTAGATTTTAATTTACAATGAACGAAAAAATACGACGTTAGGATGTAATGATTGCGTACAGTTTAAATTTTGTTTTTGTTAAAGTAATATAAAAGTTAAATATCAACAATATTGGATAACTTTTTAGTACCTGTAAAAAAATATAAAAAAATTTAAAAAACATTATAAATTTAATTAGTTTCTATGAATGTTGAAATAAAAATTCAAAATAGTTACGTGTGTATGATTAGAAATTAAAAAAATGATGTGAGTTAATTTTTTAATTCATATTATATATTTTACATTATAATAATTTATCAATTATTACACACACACAATTAATTTACTACAACTATCATTATATACAAATCATACACATACAGATGCAAAGTATATCTGTTAAAATGAAAACTAAACTCATACTAATCGTTTCTCACCCATACGAGTAACATCTGAGTACACGCATTGATGAGAACGCAGAAAGTATAAAAGTGAGAAATGATAGATTAGTATATTAAAAGCTAAAAATTCTAATTTAAAAATTGATTAACATATACAAAAGTTTTCTTATTGATCTAAGCGAGTTATGAAATTTACAAAGTCATTTATGACTTTCAACAAGTTTCTAAGATATTGAAAAAATTTTTTAAAATTAAACAAAATCATGGACGACTTGTTGTTTAATTAAGTTGGTTGTTTCAATAAAAGAATTGAGCTTTGAGCTACCATTTAACTGCTAGAATTTATCCGTTGCGAATGGGTTTGTGTCTTCTTGCTCATTTATTTATAATATAATTAAAATTATATGTCAAAATATAAATCAGAATTAAATAAACTAAATACGAAACAATACATGTAAAACATTTGTTATATACTTTTCTGGTATAATTTATTCGATTTTTTATCAATACTTACCGCGAATGAAATACTAATTATAAAAAAAATAGTTTATTAATTAATTGCATTAACAAAATATTCGTAAATGTAGTGTTAATGATTGCTTTGCATGTAGTCAATACAAATACAAAAGTTTCATGCATTATTTTAATCCTGAAACTCGGTCAATTTTATTTTTCATTTCTTCATTGATGCACTGATTTTAATACACGAACAGTCTTCTGTACAATTGTTTTAAAATAAAACAATAATTACTTTATACGAACAAACTTTAATACAATTCACTGTATTGCTTGCAATAAATTTAATATATAAATTGTAAAAATAATTCACGAAAAGCGATGGGATTGAAATTAATTTTACGAACGTTTTTCTATAATTCACGATTTTTTAATATTATTTAAAACGATGCAACAATCATTAAAGTTTCTTATCGCGATCATGCACCGACTCTACTATGCCATTCAATTTTACTTTAATAAAATTAAAGAAAGATTGAATTTTATAATTAATATAATATATATTAATATTAAATAAAATTAAATTAATTAAAATTATAAATATAAGAAAATTAAGTTAGCTTTTACTTTAAATAATGAATACACGAATATTTTGGTCTCCTATATTAAATTTTATTTTAATTAAATCGAACGAACACTCTGATTTTATAATTAATTTTACAACTGTTTTATCACGTAAAGTTAATTTAAAAAACATTGTTATCATTTAAAAATCATATGAAATTACTAAATAAGTAATTAATATATAAAAATGAAGTTATCTTTTATTTTTTAAATGATGAATACGCGGAATATTGGTCTCCTATATTAAAATTTATTTTAATTAAATCGAACAAACATTGATTTTACAATTAATTTTACAACTTTTTTACAACGTTACACGTAGTTAATTTAAAAAACATTGTTTCCACTTTTCATACTATTGAAATAATCTTTTGAAAATAGAAAACAAAATAATAACGATTAGAATCGTTGTTATCATTTAAAAATCATACGAAATTATTAAGTAAGTAATTAAGATAAAAAAAAAATCAAGTGTTATCTTTTATTTTAAATGATAAATCCACGAATATTGGTTTCTTATTTTTAATATGACGATGAGTATACATTTAAAATCGAAATAAAAAATAATAAATTAGTCTTTTTGTTCGGAAAAAACAAATTTTTTAAACATGGCTAACAACACTGATTTTATTTCGCGATTTTTGTTAGTTTTTGTTTCATTAATTCAACGATAAAATACGATTAGCTGCGTAATAACGTTTAGATGAAATATAAATAAATAAATAAATACAATATTAATATCTTTGTGATAATTAAAAATCGTTGAGGAATTATTGTATATACAAGTGTTTGCAAATGAAAATGAATTTAGTTGAAATTTTTAATGACGACCGCAACGATGATTTTCCTTATCCATAAAACACAGATAAAAAACTATTATGCAAATAAATAAAAAAAAAAAAAAAACAAAAGCTATAAGTAAGTTTTTTTTGTATCGTTGTTGCATTGCACGTCAATAACAGTTGAAAGAATGTTTACGATTAGAATTCTTTTCAAAAAGTAAATCGAATATTATTATTGAATACCAGGAATGTGAAAGAATGATGAGAATAAAATACGAATATGATATTACTTATTGTTAAATAAATGAAAGAAATGAATTACAATATATAATAATTTATGGTAAACGGTATTTGAATTGGATTTTATTTGCAATGAATAGAATATTAAATATTGTAAATATTATATTGAGAAAAAATAAAATTGACCAGGTAATTGCTTCTGGAAAGATTTGAATTTTAATGTAATTATTAATTCAATTAAATTATTATATAATTATATTAAATATTATTAATTAAATTAAATTATTAATTATATTTAAAGATTATTAATAAAGAAAAATACAGAAAATATACTTAAAAAACATTGTAAAATATCGAAACATTTTTAGTTTATATTTCAACACATGATAACGATATCAAGTTGAAAGCATTCATTTAAAATCATATAAAATAGAAAAACATATGAAAATTATTTTCTATTCAAAGTATATATCAGCAGGTGTGTTTAAACAAATGTATATATGTTTAAACAATTTTAAATATAAGTACATTGCATTATAGTATCATACAAATACGTACATGAATACAAGTAAAAAAAAAGAATAATTGTTTATTTAATTTTTAAAGATTTTTCTCTCATAACTGGTATTTCAAAAATTATACGATTGATAATTAAAAAAAAGTATTTGTTATATAAACGAAAAGAAAATGATATTAAAAATATTTTCTAATAATATTTCTTTTTAAGAATTTATCCTAATTATATTCCGATACATTCACAAATTATACGTATTAAAAACTTTGATTTTTATTTGCTTCCTGTAAGTATAGAAAAACAAATTAATTTAAACGATTCGCGAAAGTACGATACGTATATTATAAATCGGTTATAAATACTGCGAAAGAAAGAGAAAAAAAATTATATATATAAATCGGTTTAAATACTATGCGAAAGAAAGAGAGAGAGAGAGAGAGAGAGAGAGAGAGAGAACAAAAAACAAATTATTTCTTGGCACTTCGCATACTTATCATCAACAGTTACAGAATAATATACGTATTTATATATACATATACACATATATGTATATGTATGTGAACGCGTGGTAATACTACTCGTGAATTCTTCGTTTATGGCAATTTCACGATCGCATTTTCACTCGTAAAGAATATTTCGAGACGCATGATTGAATACGATGTATTTATTATTTACGCGTGTGTTGAAAAGAAAAATATTCCGTGTAAAAAAATAATAACACATATCTACTAACTTAAAAAAAAAACATTTAATAATATCCGTAAGAATCATCGGAAATATTTAAAACATAAAAATAAAAAAAAATCTCAAACGAAACAACAACAATTATTATAATATTAATATTAACACACAACGACAAAATAAATTCAATAAATTTATATTCGAATTTGTATTAATTTCTTTTTAATATCTATATATATTGTAACAAGATAAATAATATTTTTGTAAAATCGGTCGGTGATCAGGGTAGGTTGGGAAAAAAAAAAAAAAAAAAAAAAAAAAAAAAAAAAAAAAAAAAAAAAAAAAAAAAAAAAAGGCATGAAAATATATGTTCACATTCCAAAGTGACTGGGACGATCTAACCAATCAGATAAAAGGAGTTTAGAATTTCAATGCCCTTTTCAATGGCTACATTCTATACATATGCGACGCACATGACACACACTCACACACATATACACTGGCATACACACACACACGCGTAAATATCTAACAAGAATAGAAAAGCAATTTTTGTTTGTGTATTTATCGCGCATTCCTTCTTAAAAAAAAAAAAAAAAAACCAAAAAACCAAAAAGAAAAACTATATAAATTAATAATTAATTTCAAATAATTTAATGAGCTAGCACAAACAACGAGATACTTTGTATTATTAATTAAAATTCTTGTCAATTAATCGAATACATATACATATATATATATATATATACACATACATATATATACGTATATTATTTCTTTTTATATTTTTTCTTTACGAGTAATTTTCTTTTACGAGTGCCAATCCT